AAAAAAAAAAAAAAAAAAAAAAAATCAGAAATAATGTCTGTTTATCGTATTAGGCCGATTTTCAAGTATTGTACGTGTTATTTCGACGCTCGTTATGAGTTATGGTTTTTTTGTTTTTTTTCTACGTTTTTCGTGCGTTTTGGCTAACTGCGGTGATTTAAACTGTGTGACGCACCTTTAAAACGAGCCGTGCAAGAAAATTTAAGTGAAATCAAAAAATATTTTCGAATCTAGTCTAATTTCCATCTGTCGCGGTTATTTTCCGGATTATCGTGTTGTTGTTCTCGACGTTTGGTGCGCCCTTCCTGTTTAAATCATATTCTGCGGTATTATATGTATTTTTCACTTTGATGCCCGACAGTTCGCTATCAGATTGCAATTATTTATGTGCCACAAGTTATTCCTGTATATTATACGAAAATCCCAAATGCATTTCTTGTGTTTGAAATCGACATCAAATGGCTGGTGAGGCGGTTGTTAGCCAATTATTCGTATTTCAATAACAATAGTATGTACCGAAAAAATCCCTCGGACGCACGCCGCCGTCGTAAAACTCAATTTTCCCCGCATCTCGTCAAACGTTCACGTTGCATTAATGGATTTCTCGCATAGATAAACGCAGCATTATAATACACCGAGGTTTTTAAGGAAATCGACACTAGGTTCGTCGATAAACTTACGTCAAATTCAACAGAAAGTGAAAAAATAATATTATAATACGCAAAATCCGGTCTTTTCGAAAACTTATAGTATGCGTAGAATACGTGCCGGAACCGTCTACATAATATTACAGCGAAAAAATGTCAATACTCGTGAGAATAATAATGTACAAGCGTATACTATAGTGTCTATTAGAGGTATAGTATGCGATATAATATCGCGTGTCGTCGGACCGTCTAAATCGGTTTTTTTGTTCGGCAAAACCTCGGGCGACGTAAAAAAAAAACCCAAAAAACAAACACCCTATAGCCGTTATACGATACTTACGACCGGGTCGTCGCCGTATTATTGTTATTGTGTCACGTACCTATGCAGTGTACGAGGACGAGACCTTTGCGGCGCGTCGGGAGGTGTGAAATGGTGGGTGGGAGGACGGGTGGGTGACGATGGGGGGACCGGGGGCAATATCGTAATATACGTACGACGACGGCGATATAATATACGGTGTAGATTATGATTTCCCGCGCGGGGAAAATAGAAAAAATCAATCTCCGCCCCGAGGATCCCGTCCCCGCCGCCGTGACCGCGCGTATGTGTGTACCGAGACGGCCGCGCGATACCGTGGCTCCGGTCCAAGGCGGTGTGCCAAAATGTGACCAGGCGCGTGCGATTGGTTAGCACGCGCGGCTTTTACACCGCCGTCGGGGTCGGTCCCGCGTAAACAGGGTACCTATATACTCGTGTGGTATAATAGGTGCGCGGTCGTCGTCGCCGAAAGCAATATTTTATTCCGCGGCGAACGGCATAACAATATTATATTTTATTACATTGCATCATACGACGTGGCCACGTCCGGGCTAATATTATATTATAAATTATATATATATATATAGGTACCACCTCGACACCCGATATATAATACAATAATATCTATACATGACAATATTGATATAAAAAAATAAATAGAGTTATGAAAAAGCCGGCGACGCACACGCGCGGCGAGACGGATTCAAGAGGGTTGAGCGAATAAAAGGCTCGAAAAGAGAACAGAACGATATTCCGTACGTTCTGAAAAAAAAAAAAAAAAACTCAACAATTTATTGATATCGGTATCTGCCAAGCTTTAAATTTGCTCGGTCTCCGCCTTTCTCCCATTTCCCTATGATTTTCCTGGTTTTCCACACATTGCTCTTATACTTAACCCGTGTAACTGTCTTGCCACGAAATCGCTATAAAACGGTTGACGGCTTTTTTCAGACATTTCACGCTCTGTAGTTTTTGAAATAATTTCCCGTAAATTCGTTTCGTCTTCACAGGCTGGAAGGTAAAATCCTTAAAAACAGACGCCGAACATTTATAATAGCGATTTCACGACAAAACAAGTATAATGGCGTAAACGATAAAAGTACAGCGAAAAGAGAGGAGTAACCCGATTATATGTTATAAAAAAAAAAAAAACTACTAAAATAATATAATTGATATAAAAAGTTATTAAAAATTTGACCTATTTCACGTCGGGGGTAGCGCAACTATGGTTGCGGGTGAAGAGAATCCGGGAAGATTAATATTGTATAAATCATTGATCGCGTCGTTGCCCGTGACAAATAATAAAATCATTTTTTTTTCAATCATGTCAGCAAAGTAATACAAAAAAAAAAAAAAAAAAAAAAAAAAAAAAATTTT